TGGGGTGCGAGAGACGCTGGGCTTTTGACTGCAAGGTGTTTGGTGCGACCAGAGAGCAGTCTGTTTCTGAGAGCACAGACACTCGGCCTGCTTCTGACCCGTCGGAGAGGACCTGGTCCTCGGGGACATGCCGAAAACTAGTCCAGTGACACTGAGCTTTAGGAAGGAGAATTTTGGGAGCTCGTCGAGAAGCCTCTTGGACTTAGTGCCGTGGCCACTTGTGCAATGGTAACAGGATGGAAAAGGGGGATGTGAAGCTTCAGACAAGGGAGAGGAGAGAAATTGCTAAGGCTAAATGGTTCAAGAAGCTCTTCAGATCCCACAGGTATTCTTCGGACAAAGGAAGCTTGGCAGAAAGAAGAAAATTGAAGATGGCCACCGAAAAGCAAATGCTCAGAGATACAGGAGCAGATAACTTTTTTACATGTAGCACTAGCAGGAAACCAGGACCGAGGTCTGTAGGCCTGGTGACCCAGCTGAGCACATCTTTCCATCTATCTCCAGCACATTGGTATCTTAGGCTTCTTGGGTACAGATCCAGAGGTATTCAGGGGCCCAGGTGTCAGGAGAGGGTGCTAGAAAAACCAGAACTCAAGCAATGTATTTCCCTTAATTGTAAGCTCCTTGGGGCAGACCCTGCCACTTTCTTCCCTTTTTGCAGCCCCTGACACACGATCCATGCCCAAGAGGCGCAGTGACGGAGCAAGGAGCAAACAAAACCTGTTGTGAATTCAGATCTGGCTGAGAGTCGGAAGGAAGTGGAGCATGAATAAATGGCCAGTTCTCCTCCTGGAGAAGGATCAGCAGTGGGGGAGGCTCGCTGCTGTGTGCAGCAGTGAAGTGGAAAAGGGGCTGAGCAGGGAGGTAGCAGAATCTGCCGCCAACATAAAATTGTGTCAATGAGGGGAGCCAAAAGGCCACAGTAAGTCACTGCGGTTCCCCTGGAGCCAGCGTGAGCAGGCCACGTGAGGCAGAGCACAGGCAGGGCTGACGCACACAAACAGCATAATTGCCCGATGGAAGGAGTCATTTAGATTTTAAATTAATTGTAATCTCCCGGGACAAAGCTACAAAGCTCGTTTAGAGATACTTGACAAAGACCTCCATACAGCGTGCGGCAGCCGCCACCCTAAAGAATAAGAGAGAAAATAATGAGACCATTACGAGGCCATTATAGAAATTGATGGTGCGTCCTCTACCTGGAATTCTGCATTCAGCTTCGGTTGCTTCATTTAAAAGAGATGCAGCAGAAATGGAGGTGATGGAGACAGACAAGGAAAACAATTATGGGCCTGGCAGAGCCCCCCCCATCCAGGACTGAAGAGCCTGAAAAATGAGGTCTGTTCAGTTTAAAGAAGGGGAATGGAGAGAGACAAGCGGGGGATGCGGCAGGTGTGTCACCTCCTGAAGGCCACAGAAAGAGCGAGTAGATGAATCCACTTATCCTTTCTCACAGTGCAGGAAGAAGGCTGCGCTGGGTGACAGTGAAAGCCAGGGCATTTCAAACCTGAGAAGCAATAATGCTGTGCCCATTTCACAGTTATCCTCCAGGACAAGCTGCTGTGAGAGCATGTGCCCGTCCTGCCTCCAAGTTGCTCTGAGCCCAGCTGAGCTGCAGCTCAGGGTCTCAAGATTAGGCACAGCCTCTTCAAAAGCTCCAAGGTGACTTAGGAGCCTAACGTCCATTTTTATCTTGGGAGCTTGGGAGGCAAATTGCTGAAGGACGCTTGCAAATCTTACCCTGTAGGTTGGAGGTAGGTTGGTAACAAGCTGGGAGCAGCGACCTTTGAGTGTCGGAGAGGCTATTGGAAGAGGTTAATTTTAGCAGCTTCCGTGTCTGCGTCGTTCTGGGAAACTGGCCACAAAATAGGGCCGAGAGGGCCTCTAGCCACTCGGGCTTCCCTCCCTTCCCTAGCTGCCTTGTACTAATCCCTCTATGTGCTGTTGCAAAGGTGGCTGTGCTGGCCCTTCTTTTGAGTCTGAATCCACAGGAGCCATTTGGCCTAGAGCAAACACCGAGCGGGAATAAAGCCAAGCCAACACCTGGCAGTCGTACCAATTCAGTACGTTCCTTTGGAGACGACAGGCCACCTAGGAGAGCAGGGAAGGGAGCTGAACTCTGCCCAGGGACTACTGACCACTTTGCTTCCGTCTTAATCACTTCACCCGATTCACCCTGAGGCATCTTGTTCTTTTAGGGCATGGAGAGCTTCCAGCTCAGCTGAGTCCTCCTGCTCCTATAACACCAAGCAATGACCTCCAGGAGCCCAGGGCTTGTAGATCTGATCTCTGCCATGGCCCCTGCTAAACACTCAGCAGTGGCTAACTAGTGACCCTGCCAGTCACACTGGCTGCTGTCTGCTGATGGCCTCCTCCTGCCTGTTGCCTGGGTGCACCTGTTATGTCTCATGTTCATAGGTAGCAAGTACTTTGGGACCATCGGTATATAGCTACAGCATCACAGCTCTGTGCATGTCTGTTAAGACTCAGGGCTGTATTCTGAACTAAGGTATTTAGGGACTAATATTTTTAATACAGAGATGCAAATAATTGCTGGGTCTGGGCCTAGCAGAAACCGCCTGCAACAGTTTTCAATGTATTGAAAGTTTGGATATGGGAAATGGCTGGAACCAGAAGCTGCGTGGCCAGGCAGTTCATCCGAGTAGCTGAAGCGGCCAGCTTGAGTTGCTTTGCGCAAGGGGAAATGGGCTGCCTTTGCCCTCTCTGTGGTCAGCATAGCTATTCTCCACCTGCCCATTGTCCCAAAACATGTGTTAGCCCCAAAGAGACCTTGCTTCTGGGCCACTACGTTAGCCGGCAGTTAATGCACTGCGCAGGGGAACGCAGCCCCATAGTCCTAACGTCAGCCGCACGGGTCGCATGTCTCAGCTGTGTAGGCAGGAGCTGCGTGTTGGTGAGATCATGGCCTGATTCTGGAGAGCAGGTGTTAAATAATATGGAGCTGCAGACTGGAAAACCATTGGAGGGGGTGGGAGGATCATGGTGGCCATCAGCCTTTAGTCTGGCTTCTTCCTGCCACATAAGGTTGTTCCATTTTCGCCAGGCTGTGTGGGCCCTGTTTTGAAGGACCCCTGTGGAAATAGGTGCCTTGGGCAGCCAAAGCCCTGCAGCCGTAGTGTTGCCTCTCTCCCACCCTCCTTCCCAGAAATTCTGATCACACCCGAAACCCTCGGGGGGGGGAAACAAGTGGGTCTATGAACATGCTGCAACTCAGTCTCCATTTTCCCCCTTGCTCATGCCCCTCCAAGCCCTTTCATGGTGTCTTGCGGCTTTTTGCCTCTCGCAGAAAGTCTCTGGGGAGCTGCACGCTAAGATCCAGGCGGAGTTTGAGCAACTTCGTCAGATCCTGGTGGAAGAGGAGAGAGCGGTGTTGATGGAGCTGGCCAAAGAGGAGGAGGAGTCGCTGGTGAGGCTGCAAGGGGACATCTGGCAACTGGAGAATGGGATCCTGGAGCTGGAGAGGAACATGGAGTGCATACAGCAAACCCTGCATGAATTGGGCGATTTGGCACTGGTGGAGGTGAGTGTCTGGCCAGTGCTTGCCAAGAAGCCCGGGCAGGGCACTGGGATGTGGGGGAAGCGGGAGAGCAGGAAATGGATCATGCTGTAGCAAGGCCCAGGGCTTGGTGCGCCCGAGCAGAGGCAGAGCAGGCAGGGTCTAGCTCCACATCCCCCATGTGTTTTTTCCACATCAGCCATTGCCACAGGGCATAGGGGGGCTGTAGATGGGAGCCAGGAGGTGGTTTGCAAGGCTGTTTCTTGGCAAAGATGCCATCCGCGCCAGGAGACATCCAAGGATACTTGGCCTGTGGGAAAGGTGTCGTGAGTTGCCTCCCTTCTCCCTGGGAATCGGGTCAGGTTCCTACAGAGACCTCTCCCGCCTGGCACCAGGTTTTGGGAGCATCTCTCCTCAACTCCCAGCCTTTCCACGTCCCCTTAACCTCTGCCCAGGCAGCCAGGCTGACCCCTCCCTGCCAGTGCCTAGCTGTCCTGGCATCCCTTCCTTTGCTGTGTGCCTGAGTGCAGGGCAGCGTTCATTGGGGCAGCGGTAGGAATGAAGGCTGATGGCTGTTTAATTTTCTCTGCTTCTCGTTGCAGGTGGAGAGCTTGGAGATCAGGTACGTGCCTGGCATGAAATGCACTGCGTCCCTTTTCATGAGTTTCTTATCTCCCCTCTTTGCCTGGGCTGGTGATGCACAGGGGAGGGGCCTTATCTCTGTAAGTTTTAAAGCATTGCAAATTATCTGGCGAGCTGCTGGTGCGGAATCAGCCCAGGGTGGAGGGAAGATGCAGCCCCCAGCCAGGGCTGGGTGATCTCTCTGGCAGTGCACAGTTCCCAGGGCGGGGGCCAGGGGGCTTGGGAATGGCGTCACAGGCGGGGTTTGCATGCCAAGGGGGAAGTGGAAGGTGTTTTAAATGCAAGAGCTAAAGCAGGAGGCCCCATTCAGTAGCTCTGGCTCTTGTCCTCCCTGCTGCCACCTCTCCGTGAGCCTGTCGGTGCTTGGCCTGGCTCACAGGAGAAGGGTTCTGTTGCAAAATGGATCTTGAGCCCCAGGCGGCAGCCCACCCCCCCCAATCACCTTCAGAAACGCAGCTTGGAGCAGCCTTCAGGCTCACGTGGGATCGTGGCAGCTGTCAAAGGGAAGTGTCTGTGCCTTGGAGCGGTGCTATAAGAACAGCTGCCACCAGAGCCTGGCAGTCGCCAGCGCCCCTCTGTATATGTCCCAGTTATCTCTCACGTGCCCTGAATGCTGCTCCCCTGCAGACTGCCCTGCCCTTCGAGCCCAGTCACTACCAAAGCCGGTCCATTGACTCCCTTCTAGGCCAGGGAGCAAGGCAGAGGGAGCGGGCGACACTTTGCCATCAGGTTGTTGCATCCTCTTGCCTTTCCTGGGGGGCTCCTGTCCTGCCGGCTCCACTCCCTTGGTGCCTGCAGAAGCCTCAGTCTGTGGGAATATTCCCCCCCCCCCCGCCACGTCCAGGGTCCTGGCTTCAACCTGCTATGCCCACCCCCCAACTCGCTCTGTCTGCACCGTGCCGCACTCCAGCCCCTTCCCTCTGCCAGGCCCTTGGTGCGTGTAGAGGCCCCACCTTCCTTTGATGCCGACCGCCTCCGAGACCAGTACAGTGGCCCCCTGCAGTACATCTTCTGGAGACGGATGCTGCCATCCATCTCCCCTGGTGAGTCTGACACTGGGCAGGGCCCCGGCAGGGGCGAGGGGGTGGCAGGGATGCCTGGACGAGGCAAAGCTAAAGGGAGCTGATGTGCACAGCACCCTAACAAACACTCATCCTCCGTCCTAGCTCCTGCCCCACTGACCTTCGACCCCGAGACAGCGCACCCCAACCTGGTGCTGTCTGAAAACCTGAGGGCAGTGACGGAGAGCAGGACCCCCCAGCCCGTCCCCAGCAGCCCCAAGCGCTTCCAGAAGTGTGTAAATGTGCTGGGGTCTGAGGTCTTCACAGCCGGGAGCCACTACTGGGAGGTGGGGGTGGGCGGCAAGACCAAGTGGGACCTGGGCGTAGCGGCCGAGTCGGTGGACCGGGCGGCCAAGGTGAAGCTGTGCCCTGAGAACGGCTACTGGTCCCTTCGCCTGAGGAACCGCACAGAGTACTGGGCTGCCGCCACGCCCTGGGTGCGCCTCTACCCCCCACGCCACCTGCGCAAAGTGGGGGTGCTGCTGGACTGCCAGGCGGGCACGGTGGCCTTCTACAACGCTGAGGACATGGCCCACCTTTACACCTTCCACCAGGTTGCCACCCCCAGGCTCTGCCCCTTCTTCAGCACCTGCTTCAGCGATGGGGGGCGGAACGCAGAGCCCATGAGGATCTGCCACCTGGCCCTGTAGGACTCGGGCTGTTCCCTCTTGAGCCAGGGGGAGGGCAGCATGCGTGGGACTGGGGGCACCGGTGACCGACCGAAGAGCTGCCCAGGTGGGGGCTCGTCCATGCTGCTGTCGCTGAGACTTTGCCATGTGTCTGTGTCTTGGATGCCGCTGGTCCCAAGCCGAGCCCGTGGGGAGGGCAGCAGTAATCCTGACTGACCCCTGCTCCCCCATTAGTGCAGGCTGGGCAGTGCTGGGTGCCTGGTATACCCCGCTGCTCCACCACGTGCCCAGACCCACACAGGCTAGGGATGGCCCTAGATCTGCCAATTTACCCCGAGCCAGCCCCTCCTGCCCAGAGGGCAGAGCTGTTAGCCGCTGGACTAAGGCAGTGGCGTCTTGTTGGCGCCAACATGCCCCTCAGCTGCAGGGGGAAGACTCAGCCCCTTCCTGCAGCTGCAGAAGCGAAGCAAGGCCGTCGCACCCGCTCCCGGTGCCTGCTCAAGCTGAGTGCAAGGCCTCTTCCACCCTGCCCAGTGCTACCCCCTGCCTCGTGCAAGGTGGGGAGGGGGGGAGCTGTGCTGAGGAATCTGCAAACTTGCTTCATGGCAGCACACGGCACCCTCCCCTGGGGCATAGGGCCTGGTGCTGCTGCCAACCTGCTAGTGGGACCTTCACACCTCAGTTTCCCCAGCTGGAGATCAGTAGAAGGAAGCAGGCTGGTGCAGTGCTGAGACTCCTGGGGGCTGGCCTCTTTCCAAGTAAAGACTTAAATGAGCTGTGCTCATTCAGGGCTTTGGCCTGCACTCCCCTGTGTTGTGTGGAGCCAGGGCATTTCCAGCCCTGGCTCTGGTGAGTGGGGAGAGGGGCAGGAGCAGCCCTGCAGCAGGAGGTGGAGCGCCCAGCCAGAGATGTCTAACGCACGAGGCCCCTGGTACAGCAGAGCACAGCCGCCTCTGCTGCACCTGTATCGCCCACAGACCCGCCTTTGGGCTCCAGCACCAGACCCGACTCTTCAGCCCTTCCTGTGCGGTGCCAGGCCAGGGCAGACCAGGAGAGGGCACCCTCCACCAAGCCAAGGTGTCCACGATGGGGCTCCTAGCAGCAGGTGGTGGATGTGTTGGCTCCCGGCTCCTATCCCTGCTGTGCTCCCTGCTGCCTTGCCATTAAAGCTCAGAAGCAGACTGTGCTGTCATTGCCTTGCTCCTCTGTCTTGGGCGGTTGGAGGGAGACCTCAACACCAGGCTGGGGCAGGGAGGAACCCCCTGGATTTACTGCCTTGCAGCGCTATTCCTGATTCGCCCTCTGTGCTTTGGGCTGGGCTCTGGGGCCACTCGGTGGGAAGGGAGGGAGATGGGGTTGTTTGTGGGTGGGGGGTCCTGCGGCCAGGTGACTGGCCCCGGGTTAGGGAAGACTGGTGCTGCGTGCCCCATGTCCAGGGCCCAGTGCCGCAGGGTCTGAGCAGCAAGGTTGCTTGCATTCATGCTACCCATGGCTCCCAGCTCCTCCTTGCAAGTGGCTGCTACCCCCAGCTGGGAGAGCTCCCCTTGGAAAACTGGCCAGCTGCTGGGACTGCATTAACCTTTTGTTGCCGCCTTCCTTTGCTTTTGTCCAGGGCCTCGTAAACCGAGCTCCACCTGGGAGCATTTGCAGCCGGACTGCCTGAAGGAGGGGGGCAGCACGATGCATGCTCCGGTAGAGCAGGGCCCCGAGACCGTCACCTCGGCCTGACAGGAACCCGGGCTCTTCCTGGCGTCTCCCCTCGCTCCCCGCAGACAATGCCACTGCTTTGTGTTGCACCTTGGGTCCCAGCTGCTTTCTCAGCCACGCTTCGGTAGCACATAATGAACAATGGTGGGGGCAGGGGGAGACGGACGGGCAGGCGGGAGGCCTATTTGTTACAGTCCTGGTGGGCCTGGGTCCCAGACAGACGGACAGGAAGCAGGCTCAGCAATGCACTTGTCTAAGACTGCTTTAGGGTTTTGGTCTGCCAGTCCCGATGGCAGGCTGCCCCTTCTAGCCTTCCTACCGGCCGCTCGGGCATTGCCTGTTGCCGCAGGCCTCGGTATTCCTGCGTGCGGTGTCTGTGCTGGTCGTCTTCCTCCAGACTCGGCTTCTGATGGTGTCTTTGGTCAGAAGAGGAAACGAATTGGGTCTCTTGTTTCTGGCCGGCACAGACCCAGAGTCCCTGCCCACGATGCGTCCGAGCAGGTTCGACATGGGCTCCAGCGGTATCCGCACCTCTGCCTTTGCTGCTTCCCAATGGCGGCTCTAAGAAAGGCACCTGGCGCTGCCATCCCTCCGGGCGCTGCGTTCTTGCTCCTGCTTTTGCCTCTGGGGAACTGGCTGTGTCCCCAGCTGGCTCAGCCCTGGACCTGCCGGCCGCCCTCCAGGAGGGGATCCAGGCCATGCTGGCTGGAGCGGGGTCTGAGACCTGAGAGATGAGGGGGCTGCCCTGGCTCGGCCACCCATGGCATGCTGTAAGGTCAACGCCGATGCTAAAGCCAATGCAATATCGCGTGGCCCGAGGGCTTGGACAAAGCCTGTGGATTCCTGTTCCTTGGACATTCAGTTTCTAGCTTGTTACATGGGCCGGACACCGACCGCCTGGCCCGTTTTCCAATGGAGTAGCTTGGGGCCGAGGGTGTCCATTGGCACGGTCTCCATACCTGCCTGGCTGTGTCGGCACGTGCAGGGAAGGGGCCGAGAGGACACCTGGGGAGTTGGGCACCGGTCAAGGGGCTCTGTGCAGCCAGGGGGATTAGTGGAGGGTTGGTGGATGGCGGGATAGTCCTCTTGCCCAGGGCAGCTGGGCTTTAAGCTCTCACTAGAGGTGAGCTGGGATCAGGCCACAGAGCAGTTTGACTTCACTCCCCGGGAATTTGCAGCACTGGGATTCAGTTGGAGCCAAAGCGCTGCTATTTAGAGCAGTGGCTCTCAACCGTGTCAGGCTCGAGGCCCTCCTCGCAAAATGCCAGCTCTTCGCTTTAGCTCATTTTTGGTCTATAGAAAAATAGAGCTGTTCTTCTGTTGCAGAGAACTTGGAAAGACCCTGGCAAGGCACCATGTTCGTAGCCCCATGGCTTCCTGCCAGAAACCCCTGGGTTTATCTTGTATAGCATGTGTGTGTGGTCCCCCATGGCAGCCTTGAAAGGATCTTGAGGCACCCCAAGGTGCCGCAGGACCCTGGTTGAGAGTCGCTAGTCTCGACGCATCCCAGCAGGCAGAAAGACGCACACACACCTGGAGAGGAAGGCAGCTCGAGGTGCAGTGTTGATGCACTTCTGGATTCAAGGGGCTTTGTTTTCCAGAGATGCCCAGGGGAGGGATGGCCCGGCATTGGGTTGTGGTGCTTGGGCCGATATGGAGCCGTGCGAGAATCCCTCCCTGTTGGCGGGTCCAGCCATGGCACCGCACCCCTGCGCTGGGAGAGCTGAGCTGCTTTGCAGGTGCGAGGGCTGCCCTCCCCCATGAGCCTGGTGCAAGGCAGGAGCAGCAACCAGCTGGGAAACTCGGGCACAAACCCATTTCACTGCTGGGCCTGAGGAGAAGGTGATGTTGGTAGGGCAAGAGTTGCATCTTTGTCCTTCAGGGGACCGAGCGCTGCCTTTCCCCAAGGTGGTTGCAGCTGCCAAGGCTGTAAGGTGCTGTCAGCATCATGTGCTCTGCGCTGTGCACAGCCTGGGCTTAGCTCTGTGATGCCCATGGCTTCTCCATGGGCCGCTGGAGCAGATACTTGTGCTTCTCTTGCTCCAGCGCCTGGGGATCGCTCTGACTGCTCAGTGCCTCCCGTGGGGGCTGTCACCACTAGGATGGGAGCAGTGCCACGGCTTGTCCTGCCTTCTCTGTCAAGGACTGGGTCCTGTCGCCGTTCTTCAGGATTTGGATGCTGAACCCAGCCCCGGAAACCAGCCTTGCCCTCTGGCAGTGGCTGGTGAGTGGGGTAGAGGCAGCAGAGTCTGGAGGGTGCTCCCCAGCTCAGCCAGGGGACCTGCCTTGCCCTCTAATACTGCCTGGATATGGGGAATGGCTAGAATAGTTCGGGGAGCACCGCTGCCCCATGCATGGGCTCCCTCCAGCTCCTGGCTGGCTGCACCCTCCCTCCCCCGCGAGGAAGGGGATGTCGGTGGCTCCAGCCTGCCCTGGGGGTCAGGAGGCGAGGAAGCACATTGGAGACCCCGGGGGGTCACTGCCAGGAAATGAGACAATGCCTGAGCTGCCGCGTTAACTTCTGCCATGGTCCCTGCGGCACAGGCCTGTCCCAGGTGATAGCATCCTGCAGGGTACGTAGCTGCCCCTCTCCGGGGACATTGCCATTCAGGGGGCACCGTCCTCCGGCATGCACCCAGCCGTGGGTGCAGCATCGCTGTGAGTGCCAGGTCAATTAGGCACGTTGCAAAGAAGCTGGGAAAAGGCTACCCCTGTTATCGCCACTGCTGCGTGGGGATCTGCAGGGTAGAACAGCCTGCACTGAACAGCTCTCCCCTTGGCAATGCTGCCGAAGAAATGCATTTGCTAATGAATTGTAGCAGCGCCCCTGGGGCATGGAGCGCAGAAGCAGCCCGAGGATGCAAAAGAGGAGAAGATGAGGAGCGAGAAATGGAAGACAAGTGGGCCAGGGTGGCTGGGTGGTTCCTGGAGGAAGAGACCAAGCACCCGAGAATGGGACTGACTGGTGGGAGAGAGGAGGGAAGAGACCGTACCTGCTTGTCCTTGGGGATCAGGCTCAAAACGAAGCCTTACTGCTCTCCCGTGAGCAGGAGCAGGTGCGGGGGCCCGCCAAGCCGGGCTGTACGGGGGAGAGGTCAGTGAGGCTGGTTCTAGCAGGAAGAAGTCCTTGCAGAGGTATTAAAGCGGGGCTAAGTGAAATGTAGTTGTACTGCAGGAGGACAGAAGAGGACAACAGGAAAGAAATGGCAGACCTCATCTGGTGGAGACGGGTCTGGCATAGACTTTTCCAGGGGCAGGCCCTCTGAGGAGGGCAGTGGGTGGGGGGATGGATATGGAGATGGGTGCATGGATACATGGGGAAAACTTGGCAGTGTTGGAGGTGGAGTTATATATAAAAATATAAATATTTTTGCAAAAAGAAAAAAAATGCAGAGGTCAGAGTCCATATGGCATTTCCAGCCCCTGCTACGGCCTTTCAGAGAGCAGCGCGTAGCATCTAAAGAAAAGCTGTAGAGCAGTTAGTTCACGTGCACGTGAGACGATGTGTAGCACTAGCACCGATACGTAACACCTCTCGGTGTCGGGCTGGAGTTCTTGGACAGGGCTGGTGCTCAGCTGTGCAAGCGCTGTGTGTGCACAGGGTGCATGTTGCTCATATGACTGTTCGGTGTTGCCATAAGGGCACTGGCTGAGCTGAGGCTCCCCCGTGCAAGGTGCTGTACAAAGCCAAAGAAACAGGCCTTGCTCCAAGGACTTTACAGTCCAATAGGCCAGACAACGTGTGACAGGTAAAGATGCACCGAGATGGTAAGTGGCTTGACCACGGTCAAAGCAGCCGGTCCAACACAACCCTGAAGACCACAGCTGCATTTCCGCTGTACCTCCCGGGCTGTCTGCTCCCCCAGGGGACATGATGCTGTGACGTGTCAAAAGCCAGGTAGAGGGTTGCTGTGGTGGCCGGCAGACGTTTGGCAAGCCCTCGAGCGGCTCTGAGCCCTGCTAAAGGAACATGAGAGGAAGTGCCTGGTGCTTCCCCTGGACAAGCCCCTGTTAGGCCTGTGCAAGTGTCTTGGACAGGAAAATCAGACCTGCCCAGCGGGTGCGGTTCAAAAGCTCATGGTATCGCGGAGAAAGCAAAGCCACAGGTGGAAGCCCTGTCACTGCCCAGCCGATGCCAGCTGCCTGTGCTGTGAGCTCACATCCCATCCCAGCAAATGGCTCCAGTCCATGGAAACCTCTCCTCCAGCATCCCCAGCCCCACGTGCTTTGGGCTCCGTTGCTGATGAGGCAAAGGCAGGGGTCCCATTTCACAGCAGCTGGGGCTGGGAGGGGTCAGGCAGGAGGGACCCTGTTGATGCGTCTCCTCTGCACTGGGAAGGCTTGCAGTGCAAGGATACCCATGTCCATGTGCCTCCTGGGCCTTGGGAAGAGCCAGGGGGGTGGCAAGAGCTGTATCTGGCCTGCCTTCCTGCTTTGCTTGGATAGAGCGGAATAAGAGAAGGCCTTGATCTCCATGGCTGTGACACGCATGGGGTAGGCCTTTATTGCACTCCTGCGTAGCATCCTGAGATACTCTCTGAAACCCGTGAGCAGAGTGCAGGTGGGGACGGCACCGAGCAGCCTTGGACTTCCCAGGTCCCTAGACCTCCTGGACTGATTCTCACCTAGCCCAGACCCAGCTATTCTCCGAAGGGAGCGCCCTGAGGATCTGCAGCCACATCCCTTGTACCCCTCGCCGGGCCCATAGCCGACTATGTGTCCCCCCTTCCACCCACGGCACCCGCTACAAGCCTCAGCCTCCCAGAGCCTTCAACCTGAGCTCCCCGAGACCGACAGCATCGCTGGGGCCTTCCTGGCTGAATGGAGGCTGCTGGAGGGCGGCTCTCCAGACACTGACTCAGCCGGGGCTGAAATCTGGGGGAAAGGGAAGAGTCCCGGCGCCCCACGTACGCGTGATGCCTTTGTTCCACTTGTCAGTCCAATGTCCTGGGCAAAGCGGGGGAGTAAGGCTTTAAATAAGCTCCTTTTGTTTCCTGAGCATAGAAACACCAAAAAGGTCCGGTCGGGCGCATGGTAACCTGTGTTTGTGATGGAAAGTTTCCCGCAGAGCTTTTTCGGGCGTACGCTCCTGCTCGTTTCCCACCATTAGGTGGCAGCTTGGTCCCGGCCCTGGCATAGGGGGTCCCTGCCCGCTGGTTGTCCCAGCCCTGGCATAGAGGGTCCTCGTATCCCTTCCTCAGGTGCACAGCAGCCCCTTCCCCGCCGGCTGCAGGCTGCTCTCCTGGACCCCCGGGACCCGGTGGCGGGGGAGTTGGCAGCCAGCTCATTCCCCCCTCTGCTGCTGCAGACAAACCCTCTGCCGCGCACGGCTGCATTTCCTCCCCTGTCTGTCCGCGCGCCAGTGCCAGTGATTCAGCAGCCTGTTATTTCTGTACCTGTGCTGCCTTTGCTCCTCACCGCTGAAACAGATGTTCGCAGAAAGGGCTGGGCCCGGCATTCATTGCCGTGCAACGGGCTGAGCGTGTTCCTTCTCCTCCCGAGCTCTGGTTGTGCCTTCAGGGGTTCTGCAAGAATTGGGCCAGGGCCTAGGGGGATGAATGGAAACCAGGGCTGCTCCTGCAAACCAGTGCTTGCAGTCCAGTTCCCAGTCTGCAGGTGTTCTGATCACCAGACCCCGCTGCCACCCTCCTTCCCTGTCTCATTGTGCTGAGCACAAACCTAAGGATGGCACCAGGACACGGGTACAAAGGGGGATTTGTACAACTCCTACCTGTGCAAATCTGGGGGGCCTCTGGCTCTGGGGCTTTTACCAGCAACTGGTTCCCAGAGGGCTTTAGAAATACATAGGTAGAAACTGTGGAAACAGCTCGCAGCACTGTCCTGCTGGCATTCACTTTCTCTGTGGACTATTAGCCCTGGAGGGGGGAGCTTTGTTCCTTTGATACATGGTGCCTAACACAAGGAAACCCTGATCCGTCCATGGGGGGTCCTAGGCTGTACAGCAATAGAAATATATCATCATCATCATCACCATGATATAATAATGATTCACCTGTGGGAGAACTGTTCCGGACCGCAGCAAGGACCTGCTCCATAATTAGGAGGTTGCTGCTCTAGGACGTGATCCAGCATCGGAGGTGCTGAGTCTGGTCTAAAGCTGCGCTGGCAGGAGAAGCAAGGTTAGGTGAGGGATTGCTGAATAATGGGCCCTTAACCAACCTCCTCCCTGTCTGGAAAGTTCTTGAGCCATGAGCGGGGGACATTAGGAGTATGAGACTGCCCAATTTTGAGTCACAGTAGGGATGGGGGGAGGGTTTGGTGGAAGTCACAGATGAGAAACACAAGTATTTGCCCGTATTCATCTCAAGAAGCAAAACAGGCGCATGGATGTGTGTGCTTGTGTTGGCACTTGAGCAAGTAAAATCTTCAGAATTGTACTAATGGGGGGACAGGGGAAATAACCTAGCTAGAAGCACTTGTAGCTTCTTAGATGTCCTTTATTAGCTTTGGGAAGAAGGGTGTTTCTTTCACAGATCTGGGGAGGCAGCTAAAGGCACACAAAGCCTCATGCCTTTTTGAGACCCCAGGCGCACAGTTCTCAATCCAGACCCCTCTTTTTTTTATGTCAGCAAAGTTGCACAGTGCTATTGCTGCATCTCTAAGGTGTGAGCCTGGGGGTGACATTTATTTACTGACCGCTCTGGGAAATCCACGCTGGATGTGAGGGCTGGTGTCCAGATTGCTGAGCTGCGATCGTAATTAAGAATCAGAAAGTTTATGCCCCCGCATCTGTTGGCACAGAGCTTATAAGCCACTAATGTAACAGCCTTTTCCTTCAGGGCGGTTTGGACGGTGGGTTCTAAATGCACGTGTGCATCCCTCCCTGGGAGAGCATCTCTTCTGCCTTCATTGCAGAGCAGCTCTTGTCACTGTCTCAGCGCGTCCCCTGTGCCCCACACTTGCCCACTGTAGCCCGGCAGACGGCAGGAGCGCTAGTGGACTGGCACCTTCACGTAACCAAATCTTCCTGTTGCGTGCATGAAGGGACGCGTCTGGTTCTGCAAAACCCTCCTGCTATGGGCGCATGCTAATTAGTTCCCCACCCCTTGTACTCCATTGACACGCCAGTAAGGAGCCCTTAGAGGTTTCTACACTACTGTGCTCGGCAGCCATAGACACAGCTACTGCACAAGTCAGTCCTAGGGAGTTGTGACTGCACCCCAGAAGCGTGTTATCTACCACCAGCGGCAGCAGGCTACTTATCCTGGAGAATAACCTCACTCACCCACTCACTCATGCCTACAAAGCTAGGGCCAGGTTGCCAACACCTAGCAGCCCAGAAAGACTCCCAGGCCCGTCTGTCCGAGCGCAGGGTGGCACACAAGAAGCCCCTATAGAAGGAGGCGCCTGCTCCCTACAGCACAGGGGCTGGTGCAGGAGCTGTGGCCTTCGCTGTCCTGGTAGCACCGAAGCTCCTAACACCTGGATCCCACCTCCCCCTGCCCGCCTTTGCCCTAGAAAGTCTCCGAAGGGCTGGGGCTGGGTCTCTTCATGCGGGCTGTGAAACTAAAACCTAAATGAAGGAAAGGAGAGGGACCGCACCGACAAACAGCGGAGAAGGAACCGGTGCTCCTGGTCGAGGGGGCCGGATGGAGGGAGCCTTTGGGGGTTCCCACCTGCTCTGTACAACGTGTGCAGCTGTGCCTGCGTGTGGCTGGGGGAGGGCACGGCTCTGGGGCACTTCTGCTCTTGCTGCTTTATGGCCGTCTTCTTGCGTTTCCGAATGTGCCGATGTGTGTACACAGGGGCATGTGGGGGTTGCGTGTGCCAAGGCACGGCTCTGTGCATGTCTGTCTGAGCATGTGTGCCAGTGTGTTTCTGTGGACCTGGCTGTGAACACAGGGGGCTATGGGGTGTGCCTGGCTACACTGGGGGGGTGCCACTGCCCATTGCCACTTGGGGTCAGCACGTGTGGGCACAGAGTGTGTGCCTGTGCAAGTGCGGGCAGTGTGCACACAGCTATGGGCACCCAGGTGTGAGGCTTGTGTCCTGTGTGTGCACCCATGTGCTCTGTGTGTGCACCCAGGTGTGAACTCTGTGTGCGCACCCATGTGCCCTTTGTGTGCTATGTCCGTGCCATGTGTTCACACAGGTGCGAGTCATGCATGTTCAACCGTGTGCTCTGTGTGTGTCGTGTGTGCCATGTGTGCACTCAAGTGTGAGTCGTGTGTGTTCAACTGCAAGCCCTGTGTCCATGTGCCCCAGGTGTGTCGTGTGCGTGTCGTGTGTGCCACATGCGCACTCAAGTGTGAGCCATGTGTTCAACCGTGTGTCCTGTGTGTGTACTCATGCCCTGTGTGTCATGCGTGTGCCATGTGTGCACTCAAGCGTGAGTCATATGTGTTCAACTGCGTGCCCATGTGCCCGGTGTGTGTCATGTGTGTGCCACGTGTGCACTCAAGTGCGAGCTGTGTGTGTTCAACCGCGTGCCCTGTGTGCCCATGTGCCCTGTGTGTGTCGTGTGTGTGCCACGTGTGTATTCAGGTGTGAGCCGTGTGCGCGCAGGTGTGCCCCCGCGTGCGCGCGGCAGGTGCGTGGCGTGGCCCGGCCCGGCCC